CTGGAGCCTGTGCTCCACAACAGGAGAGGCCGCGACAGTGAGAGGCCCATGCACCGCGATGAAGAGTGGCCCCCGCTCGCCGCAACTAGAGAAAGCCCTCGCATAGAAACGAAGACCCAATGCAGCGAAATAAATAAATAAATAAAATAAATTTTTAAAAAAAAAAAATGCCATTGGTAGTTTGATAGGGATTGCACTGAATCTGTAGATTGCTTTGGGTAGTACAGTCATTTTCACAATATTGATTCTTCCAATCCAAGAACATGGTATATCTCTCCATCTGTTTGTGTCATCTTTGATTTCTTTCATCAGTGTCTCATAGTTTTCTGAGTACAGGTCTTTTACCTCCTTAGGTAGGTTTATTCCTAGGTATTTTATTCTTTTCGTTGCAATGGTGAATCGGATTGTTTCTTTAATTTCTCTTTCTGATCTTTTGTTGTTAGTGTATAGGAATGCAAGAAATCTCTATGCATTAATTTTGTATCCTGCAACTTTACCAAATTCATTGCTTAGCTCTAGTAGTTTTCTGGTGGCATCTTTAGGACTTTCTATGTATAGTATCATAACATCTGCAAACAGTGACAGTTTTACTTCTTCTTTCCAATTTGTATTCCTTTTATTTCTTTTTCTTCTCTGATTGCCATGGCTAGGATTTCCAAAACAATGTTGAATAATAGTGGCGAGAGTGGACATCCTTGTCTTGTTCCTGATCTTAGAGAAAATGCTTTCAGCTTTTCCCCATTGAGTATGATTGTTGGCTGTAGGTTTGTCATATATGGCCTTTATTATGTTGAGGTAGGTTCCCTCTATGCCCACTTTCTGGAGAGTTTTTATCATAAATGGGTGTTGGATTTTGTCAAGAGCTTTTTCTGCATCTATTGAGACGATCATATGGTTTTTATACTTCAATTTGTTAATATGGTGTATTACATTGATTGATTTGCATATATTGAAGAATCTTTGCATCCCTGGGATAAATCCCACTTGACACAGTGTATGATCCTTTTAATGTGTTGTTGGATTCTGTTTGCTAGTATTTGGTTGAGGATTTTTGCATCTATATTCATCAGTGATATTGGTCTGTAATTTTCTTTTTTTATAGTATCTTTGGTTTTGGTATCAGGGTGATGGTGGCCTTGTAGAATGAGTTTGGGAGTGTTCCTTCCTCTGCAACTTTTTTGGAAGAGTTTGAGGAGGATGGGTGTTAGCTCTTCTCTAAATGTTTGATAGAATTCACCTGGGAAGCCATCTGGTCCTGGACTTCTGTTTGTTGGAAGATTTTTAATCATAGTTTCAATTTCATTACTTGTGATTGGTCTGTTCATATTTTCTATTTCTTCCTGGTTCAGTCTTGGAAGGTTATACCTTTCTAAGAATTTGTCCATTTCATCCAGGTTGCCCATTTTATTGGCACAGAGTTGCCTGTAGTAGTCTCTTATGATGCTTTGTATTTCTGTGGTGTCCATTGTAACTTTTTCATTTCTAATTTTATTGATTTGAGTCCTCTCCCTCTTTTTCTTGATGAGTCTGGCTAAAGGTTTATCAATTTTGTTTATCTTCTCAAAGAACCAGCTTTTAGCTTCATTGATCTTTGTTACTGTTTTCTTTGTTTCTATTTCATTTACTTCTACTCTGATCTTTATGATTTCTTTCCTTCTATTAACTTTGGGTTTTGTTTGTTCTTCTTTCTCTAGTTCCTTTAGGTGTAAGGTTAGATTGTTTATTTGAGATTTTTCATGTTTCTTGCAGTAGAACTGTATTGCTATAAACTTCCTCTTCGAACTGCTTTTGCTGCATCCCATAGGTTTTGGATCATCATGTTTTCATTGTAATTTGTCTCTAGGTATTTTTTGAATTCCTCTTGAATTTCTTTAGAGATCTCTTGGTTATTTAGTAGTATATTGTTTAGCCTCCATTTGTCCACATTCATTATGATCTTCTTCCTGTAATTTATTTCTAATGTCATAGCACTGTGGTCAGAAAAGATGCTCGATACGATTTCGATTTTCTTAAATTTACTGAGGCTTGATTTGTGACCCAAGATGTGATCTATCCTGGAGAATGTTCCGTGTGCACTTGAGAAAGTGTAATCTGCTGTTTTCAGATGGAATATCCCATAAATATCAATTAAATCTATCTGGTCTATTGTGTCATTTAAAGCCTGTGTTTCCTTATTAATTTTCTGTTTGATGATCTGTCCATTGGTGTAAGTGGGGTGTTAAAGTCCCCACTATTATTGTGTTACTGTCGATTTCCTCTTTTATAGCTGTTAGCATTTGCCTTATGTATTGAGGTGCTCCTATGTTGGGTGCATATATATTTATAATTGTTATATCTTCTTGGATTGATCCCTTGATCATTATATAGGATCCTTCCTTGTCTCTTGTAACATTTTTTATTTTAAAGTCTATTCTATCTGATATGAGTATTGCTACTCCAGCTTTCTTGTGATTTCCACTTACATGGAATATCTTTTTCCATCCCCTCACTTTCAGTCTGTATGTGTCCCTAGGTCTGAAGTGGGTCTCTTGTAGACAGAATATATACTGTCTACAGTCTTGTTTTTGTATCCATTCAGTGAGCCTGTGTCTTCTGGTTGGAGCATTTAATCCATTCACGTTTAAGGTAATTGCCAATATGTATGTTTCCATTACCATTTTCTTAATTTTGGGCGGTTTGTTTTTGTAGGTCTTTTTCTTCTCTTGTGTTTCCCACTTAGCATTTGTTGTAGAGCTGGTTTGGTGGTGCTGAATTCTCTTAGCTTTTGCTTGTTTGTAACACTTTTGATTTCTCCGTAGAATCTGAATGAGATCCTTGCTGGGTAGAGTATTCTTGGTTGAAGTTCTTCCCTTTCATCACTTTAAATATATCGCGCCACTCCCTCTTGGCTTGCAGAGTTTCTGCTGAGAAATCAGCTGTTAACCTTACGGGAGTTCCCTTGTATATTATTTGTCGTTTTTCCCATGTTGCTTTTAATAATTTTTCTTTGTCTTTAATTTTTGTCCATTTGATTACTATGTGTCTCAGCATGTTTCTGCTTGGGTTTATCCTGCTTGGGACTCTCTGCACTTCCTGGACTTGGGTGGCTATTTCCTTTCCCATGCTAGGGAAGTTTTTGACTATAATCTCTTTGAATATTTTCTCAGGTCCTTTCCCCCTCTCTTCTCCTTCTGTGTCCCCTATAACGCGAATGTTGGTGTGTTTAATGTTGTCCCTGAGGTCTCTTAGGCCGTCGTCATTTCTCTTTTCCTTATTCTGTTCCGCAGCAGTGATTCCCACCATTCTGTCTTCCAGGTCACTTATCCGTTCTTCTGCGTCAGTTATTCTACTATTGATTCCTTCTAGTGTGTTTTTCATCTGTTATTGTATTGTTCATCTCTGTTTGTTTGTTCTTTAATTCTTCTAGGTCTTTGTTAAATATTTCTTGCACCTTCTCAATCGTTGCCTCCATTCTTTTTCCAAGGTCCTGGATAATCTTCACTACCATTATTCTGAATTCTTTTTCTGGAAGGCTGCCTATCTCCACTTCATTTAGCTGTTTCTCTGGGGTTTTATCTTGTTCCTTCAACTGGGATATAGTCCTCTGCCTTTTCATTTTGTCTACATTTCTATGATTATGGCTTTCGTTCCACAGGCTGCAGGATTGTAGCTCTTGCTTCTGCTGTCTGCCCTGGTGGATGAGGCTATCTAAGAGGTTTGTACAAGCTTCTTGATGGGAGGGACTGGTGGTGGGTAGAGCTGGCTGTTGCTCTGGTGGGCAGAGCTCAGTAAAACTTTAATCTGCTTGTCTGCTGATTGGCGGGGCTGAGTTCCCTCCCTGCTGGTTGTTTGGCCTGAGACGACCCAGCACTGAAGACTACAGGCTCTTTGGTGGGGCTAATGGCAGACTCCGGGAGGGTTCTCACCAATGAGTACTTCCCAGAACTTCTGCTGCCAGTGCCCTTGTCCCCGCAGTGAGCCATAGCCATCCCCTGCCTCTGCAGGAGACCCTCCAACAGTAGCAGGTAGGTCTGGTTCAGTCTCCTATGGGGGTCACTGCTCCTTCCCCTGGGTCCTGTTGTGCACACTACTTTGTGTGTGCCCTACAAGTGTGGAGTCTCTGTTTCCCCCATCCCATTGAAGTCCTGCAGTCAAATCCCGCTAGCTTTCAAAGTCTGATTCTCTGGGGACTCCTGCTCCCATTGCTGGACCCCCAGGTTGGGAAGCCTGACGTAGGGCTTAGAACCTTCACTCCAGTGGGTGGACTTCTGTGTTATAGCTGTTCTCCAGTTTGTGAGCCGCCCACCCAGCGGTAATGGGATTTGATTTTACTGTGATTGTGCCCCTCCTACCATCTCACTGTGGCTTCTGCTTTGTCTTTGGATGTGGGGTATCTTTTTTGGTGAGTTCCAGTGTCTTCCTGTCGATGACTGTTCAGCAGTTAGTTGTGATTACGGTGCTCTCACAAGAGGTAGTAAGCACACGGCCTTCTACTCTGCCATCTTGAACCACTCTCATTACCATTTTAGGTAAACCTCAAAGTATAGGCACATGTCAGAGCACTGTGACCCCAGAAATGGATGGGAAATGAAAGAAAGAAACACACAGCCTGTCTCGTGTAGAGATTCTTTGTAAGAAGTTCCTTCTGAGGGGACAACCTAGCTTAACACTATGTGACACAGCCAACGTTTTAGCAACTCTTCAACAACATTGAAACACATCTGTATTGAATGTAGGGTGTTTCATACACCACACAAAAAATGGATTCCTAAATCATTCTGCAAAGTGAACGTTCATTTATCTTTCCACATACACATAAATTGGAATAAAAGCTTATATGATCTTATATTCAGATTTTCTCTGGTAGGAAAAAAATATCAGTAAAGCTTTTTGTACAAGATGGATCAACGTGTACAGTGATTTTCTCCCAAGAATCTCCTCCAATTTCAAATATCAAATGTAATCAGGCACTAAAGGCATTAACAAGACATATATGCTGAGAAACTTGGTGTCTGACTTACCTATTGGATTTCTATCAAAGAACAATACCGGAGCTCTCAAAATGGACTCCAACATTTTGTTGTGCCAAATTTGTGAAGAATTAACAAGAACGCAGAACATCAACAGAGATCTTGTGATGCCGAAAAGGACAGTACCTACAGTTAGAACTGAAATAAAGAAACATCATTCAGCACAAGATCTCTGCCTTTCCTTCCATGATGCTAAAGCATGGCAGGCAGTTTATAAAGATATTATGTATTTTATTCTATAAATATAATTTATATATAAATTCATAAATAGAATATAGAATAAATTTATATATATAATGGATTATTTTTAACAGTTTAATACATTCACAAGATACATTTAAGGAAGAATATAAAAATCACTATGTTCCTCTCATTAAACAGAAACCACATGGGAAAAAAAAATCATGTATAAACCACAATTTCATTCTATGCTTTCCTAATTCAATTACAAGTTCTAATAAAATCTCAGAAGAGGGGCTTCCCTGGTGGCGCAGTGGTTGAGAGTCCGCCTGCCGATGCAAGGGACACGGGTTCCTGCCCCGGTCTGGGAAGATCCCGCATGACGCGGAGCGGCTGGGCCCGTGAGCCGTGGCCGCTGGGCCTGTGCGCCCGGAGCCTGTGCTCCGCAATGGGAGAGGCCACAATGGTGAGAGGCCCACGTACCGCAAAAAAAAAAAAAAAAACTCAGAAGAAAGAAAATTATAAAAAGTAGTTGATGGGCTTCCCTGGTGGCGCAGTGGTTGAGAGTCCACCTGCCGATGCAGGGGACACGGGTTTGTGCCCCGGTCCGGGACGATCCCACATGCCGTAGAGCAGTTAGGCCTGTGAGCCATGCCGCTGGGCCTGCACGTCCGGACCAAAAATTCACATAAAAAGTAGTTGATCTTCCTTTTTCCGTATTTCAAATCTTACTAATTAAAACATGTCCCATAATCTAAAATTGAGGAATGCTTTGGTACCATCATGAATTAACAGGGAACAGGAGAAATGATTTACCGTTTCCTTGTAAATGGTAAATTTACATCGAAATTTAATTCCACATAAAGTAGTTAATTCCATGCCCAAGTAGCTTTAAAGAGTATGAAAACATCACATTAAGTTGCAAGCAGAAAATCTCTTAAATAATTGAATTGCAAGAAAATACAAATTATATTTTAACATGACATAATTAAATGAGCAACTAATCTCTAAGTGTTTTATAGAAATGTGAAGCATTTGGAAATGAACATAATCACTTAAACTTATATTTTATTAACAACATAAATCAGTACCTGCTATGCATATAAAAATTAAAATAGCCCTAACATCTCTTGAACTGACAATGCTAAAGAGAGTGGACATAACTTCTATAATAAATATTCCATCAAGTACTTTTTTTCTCCCCTCCAGCTGACACATCGCTTATTTCAACTCTGAAAGCTGCTCAAATTCCTGAATTCCATCAACATGCATTTCCCTTAGCCCATACTATGTGAATGTATAACAGATTCCCTTTCTTCTTCAAGTTCCCATAGTCCACCAATTCAGAAGGTAAACAACTAATGGATTTAGGTTTCTTAGCAAGAGATCAACACAATAAACACCAAATTTCAATGAGTGGGTTCTTACAAAGATATCACACTCTATCTCTGCAGAAAGCTTGTATGAGGGTTTCCCATGGGAATATTTAATATTTTAGATGAGTATTTCCTCTAAAAAGTATGTAACACTACATATATTCTAAGCACTCTTTTGAAAGCACTCTATTGTGTTAATATTAGTCTAGCAAGCCAGATGGTAAATTAATCACACAGTTGCGGACACAATAACATTGTAATTTCAAGGTAAGAAAAGAGAAGCAATCCTAGTTTCCAGACACTGGATTTCGCCCTGCTTAGCTTCCCTCTTAAGTAATTAGTGAAGCCCAAGAGATGAGCGGTATGGTGAAAAGGGGCTTTGCCTACCTGTGAGGAAATAATGCTTTTGTTTGGGGGCCCTTGCTGCCAAAGGATTCATCCAAGTTCAATAAAAGCCAGGTTTTATTCAGAGAGAATTGGAACAATCTGAACCACACGGTGGGGATCTGTTTCTAATCCTCTTGCCCATCCATCTAATGAAATAAGATTTAGCTAAAGCAACCTATTAGAGTAGACAATAGCCACACACTTCTATAGTGGCTGATTTTCTGAATGTGCAATCCTGGTTTAACTTCCAAAATCCAGTACAGAGCAAATTAAGAGTCTTCACTTAACCTCTTTGTTCTAGTAGATTTTTTAAATAATCATTCTAATTAATTCACAGAGTAAATGCAACTCAGACTCTTAACCCGCTAAGACATTACTAAATTATTCCTGGAAGCCCTAGTTGCTCACACAGGCTCCTTGTAAGCACCTCAGACTCTTGTATAATAGACCAGATGACTCAATTTTACCTGAACAAACTGTGAAGTACCAGTCGGGATCAGGCACCACAATCAGGTTTCCTTTTCCATTCACCACGGCACACAGTGTACTCTGTCCACTCGCCCTACGGAACAGGGAAGAAAAAAATATTGTGCTATGGATAGAATTTAGATAAATAACAACCAAAAAACCCCCTCAATTTGGAAGATGCGTTTTATGCTGGAAAATGGTTCCCAGCTCACAAGGCCCTGTGTCCATCTACCTTATAAAGACTCAGTTTGAATCATGACAGCAGGGAAACTACGTGAGGATCAGAAGAGGGGGCTGAACAAGCCCCGCCTCTCCCCCGACTCTGTGGGAAACCGCGGCTTCCTCTTGATTTCACAGCACTTTGGGTCAGAGCAGGAATCACTCACCAGTATGAAAGCCACCAATCCTGAAGGACGTAGGCAACCTGGAGCAGGAACAACAATCACTCAAACACTGACATGACTGACCCCTCAAAACCCCACTCACTAGAATGGGTGATGGAAAGGCTCCAGAGAACGGACACGGTCCTTCCAGCTCAGGTCAGGGCAAGCCCCACACCCCAGAGAACCACAGGTCAGGGAAGGGCATGTGACATTTTAAAATCTCTAAGCGACATCCTTTCTTTCCTAAAAGCTCTCTATCATGCCTATGTAATACCAGAAAGCCTCACTTACTTTGCTCCCCACAGATAACGCACTTCAATGCAAATCCAAGTGGACTGCAAAATGCAGTCGTGATAGTGTAAATGTCAGGCTTTTTTGAAGGAAAAACGCTTGACAGGTACTGTGACGGTCAGTTTTCTGTGTCAGCTTGGCCAGGCCAGTCTCCAGTGATTCAACCAAACACTCGGCTAGATGTTGCTGTGAAGGTATTTTGTAGATGTGGTTCACATCTACAGTCAGTCAACTTAAGTAAAGGAGATCACCCTCAACAATGTGGTGGGCCTCATCCAGGCAGTAACAGCCTTAACAGGAAAACCTGAGGATTCTTGGAAAAGGAAGAAATTCTCCCTCAAGACTGCAGGGTCAGTGGCCTGAATCAGCCCACAGGCCTGCCTTACTGATTTCATATTCACCCAGCTAGATCCCAGTCTCATGAGCCAATTCTTTGAAATAAATCTCTTAATACACATATTAAAAATAATAATAAAATAAATACAGTATAAAAGTACATATATATCAAGTTGAGGGCACAAACCACAATAAATGTCCTTACTTACCTGAGCTGCAATGTTTAGCAGAAGAAGGAAAATGATGGTAAGCCAGTGAGCACCGGCTGTGAAGTAATTCATGTAGGTCTTAAAGTGAACTCTTCCCTCCGAATAGCTCTCCAGTGGTAGTGTAACCTGTATATGCTCAGTCTGCGAGGCAAAAATGACAGTGAGAGACAAAATTTTAAATAATGAACCCCCGAATTCTAGAAGTTCAACAATTCGCTCCATTGCAAAGCTGTGGAAAAACAGACACATCTCATACGCTGGTAGGAGTGCAAGATGGTCCATCTCCTACAGAGAAGGATGCGGAACTATCTAGCAAAACCATGCATGCATTCACCCTTGGACCCAGCCATCCTATTCCTAGGAATCTATTAGAAACAAGGAAACATCATTTGCACAAAGTTATTCACTGTTGGGTGGCTTTGCTTTAAACCGATCATGGGCCTCAGCACATACACAACATACCTGATTCAAGTATAAATGCAGAAGCTTGTTCCAAAACAACACACTAAATGACATGGAGCTAGTGTATCCCTCTAGATTATTTGTGTCACTCAAAGATGGAAACATAAAACATACTTGGGGCTCAAGATACTAACCAAATACAGTAAACTGAGTTCACACGGTGAGCTGGAGACATGTGAGTTTGGATAGCAGGGGAGCAGCATATGATCAGAATCCACCTGGTTCCTGAATTTCAGAGAGGGATTCCTGAGTTTGGAATGTGCGGGACTCATCTAAATACTTATCAGAATCATCCAGGATCCAGGGTTTGAATAGTGAGGGTTTGGATATCGAGGAACACCTGTGTATGTTTTTAAGGGAGATCTAGTGCCTTTCTGTCTGGAGGACTTAGAATGCATTATAGAGTCACAGGAGCCAAGGATGTCCTGGGCTCTATGCTGGCCACTGGGACTGAAGGTGGATAAGATGCAGTTTGGTCTTGAATGGTAAGAACTAATTCCAAACTGTCTGTTGTGTGTCAGGTCCTTTGCACAGGCTACCTCTGGCCCATCACAGACCATCTGACAAGGGGGCAAAATAATACCATGAGTCACCTACAGTGCCAGTTGACACACAGGACAGCAGCTGATTTAATCTGGGCCACAGTAGGACTCCATGTAAGGAGGTCTTAACATTACGCCTCTAGATGCATAAAGGAAGCCAGGAGGCAGCAGAGCAAGTAGGATGTAACTATGGTAAACTGAAGAGTTCTCAAATCAGAGTGAGCCACATACACCCAGAAATTCATAGCAGTACACCCACTACTGATCTCCATAAGATTCTCCATCCTACACCCAAGGGAGAGCCCCATTCAGGGAGCAATTTAATTCTACCAATTCCGTGGAATAAGGCCTTGGAAACTTAGGATCTACTTTGGGACAAACAAAGATGTCATGAGCAGAGCAGACTGAAGGTCCGTAGGTCCACCAAGAGTGGACAGACCAGGGCGTCTGCAGGATGAGAAACTCACATCTTGGTCCTCTGGAGCGGCATCTTGCAACGAGGGTCTGGAAGACTGTTGAGACCAAACTGAGGACTCAGAGGTCTGATTCCTCAGAGTGGGAGTTCCTGGAACTGGAGACAGTTCAGCCTGCTCATTCACCTTCTTTAAAAGGATATCTTCAAAATCTACCCCAGATTTCGGAAATGTAGTGTAAGTCCCCTTTTGCACTATTTTGCCCTAAAATAAAGAATTTGAGAGGAATGCATTTGCATTCGATAATACTAATCTATTCTAAATACTAATCAAGAAAAGTTAACTAGTCTTAAATTATGATTTTCCAAAGAAAATGATCCTTAGGTTTGGAATTCTGGTTGACGAATCTACTCCAACCCGAAGCAGAACTGAGCATCCTGATCTCTGCCAAACCCTGTGTTAGGTACTGGGGGAGGTGAAAGAAATGTGTGCTCGTGTGTTAAAAACGGAGGCCATTGACATAACTACCGCGGGCACTTCGGAATCAAAAAGCACAGAGGCTGGTGATATTATCAACACAGTCTGTTTAGACAACACGGAAATTTAAAGAAGCCTATCGTGACAAGCAGGATTTAAAAACACAGTCAATTGGGAAGGATATTCCAGGAAAGAAACTTAAGACCGACCCAGAGGTGGGCATGAGCGCATCTGCATAGGTAAGGGTCACTCATCAGATCTTCGCTGACCATTGTCATAGTATCACGTGCCCCGCTGAGACGAGCGATGTGGGAACCAGCCCAGGACGGAGAACCCACGAGCTGCGTCTACATGCTCTTCACAACTGCCCCACAAACACAGGAAGTTCCCAACTGAAAATTCAATATTCCAGCTGATGAAACAGCTCATAAACAAGGAGGCCATGAGACGGGAGCGGCTCTAATGCCTTGGCAGCCCGTGCCAGCAAACCAAAACCTAAGCCAGAATCGATCACACCCATCACAAGCAGTCAACCAGCCTTCCCCACATCAGGCAGCTGCTTACGCTACAGCCGATCTCATCGTTTTCTTTGAACACGTGTGACACATCATTGCAGTTTCCCTCCCTTACAAAGTTATATAAAATAACGTGCAGATGTTTTCACTATTTTCTGACCCCATGAAACAAGACTCAGCTGATTCACTCAGTAGCAAACAAAATATTGGGCAAAACCCCAGGATGAAAAACTAATTAAAGTAGGGTATGTCTGGTTAAGACAGGTCAGGTAAAGAAGGTGGCCCACGACCCCAGCTGGTACCCCTCTCATTCTATCCCCTGAGGTGGTCCACTAGGAGAAGCCCAGTGAAGCCTCTGGGTACCACCTGACACTGCAGAATCAGAAAATTATTCACGATACACTGTTTCTTGTTCCACTTGGGAGGTAAAATTCATACACCTTATTTGATGAAATTATCACTTTCCACTTAGTATCTGTAAGATGCACAAGGAAACAACTAATAGTACAAAGACAGCAATTTTACTGGGCAGCCAATCACTGATAATTCTGAGGGGACGAGAGAGCAGTCATCCCCTCTCTGCTGTGAGAGAGGGACCAGACAAACAGTAAGGATGGACCCCAACTCACCCAGGGGTGCTAACCAGTGGACAAATGGTTGTTCTGATAGTAGTAAAATTGAGGGTAGTGTCCTCAAAAGAAGCAATAAGGGGTCCCTAAAACATCCAGGGACTGGCTGAATAGGTTATTCTGCCCACTGATTCGTGCTCATAATAGTGCCAGTGCTGGGGTTTTATACACTAGTATCACCCCCTCTGCACGTGAAATCCACTGCTCTCAAGTTTGAGAGATGAGCCCCCCATTCCTGGAGGAGTAGAGGAGAGCTGACCATGGAACTGCTACTACAGAGGTAGAGGTTCTGCATTTTAATTTAATATCTTACTTGGAGCAGAAATTCATTTGATGAGTCAGGAAGTTTACCAAGGGCCTGTTGGAACAGACGGTGGTTAAGGATGGAGGTGCTCAGGCACAGAGGCAAACAAGCCGAGGAGTGAAGCATCGAACCACCACCAAGTCTGAAAAATCCTCACTAATCTCCAGTCCACCCCTAACCATGCTAGGAGCTGCGGGTTGAATGGCGCCCCCCCTCCAAAATGAAGATACGTTCAAGCTATAAACATGACACCTGTAAAGGACCTTATTTGGAAACAGGGTCTTTGCAGATGTAATCAAGTTAAGATGAGGTCATATTGAGTAGGGTGGCCCTAAATCCAATATGACTGATGTCCTTCTGAGAAGAGCAGAGACTCAGACAGACACGGGGACAATGGCCACGTGACATCAGAGGCAGAGACTACAGTCCTGCAGCTGTAAGCCAAGGAACCCCAAGGAAGGCCGGTGAAGCCCAGAGGCTGGAAGGGCGGATTCTCCCCTAGAGCCTTCAGGGAGCGCACGGCCCTGCCAGCACCTTGATTTGGGACTTGCAGCCTCCAGAGCAGTGAGAAGATACATTTCTGTTGCTTTACGCTGCCCAGTTTGCAGTACTTTGTTATGGCAGCTCCTGAAACTGACACACTAGCCTGAGCCCACACCTCTGTCTTCTCAACTGTACTGAGACTTCTAACAGTTTTGCTGTCGCCCCTCCAGTGAACATCAGAGGAATCTTTTTTTTTTTTTTTTCTGTACGCGGGCCTCTCACTGCTGTGGCCTCTCCCGTTGCGGAGCACAGGCTCCGGACGCGCAGGTCAGCGGCCATAGCTCACGGGCCCAGCCGCTCGGCGGCATGTGGGATCTTCCCGGTCCGGGGCACGAACCCGTGTCCCCTGCATCGGCAGGCGGACTCTCCACCACTGCGCCACCAGGGAAGCCCCAGAGGAATCTTTTAAATCTCACGTCAGACCACATCACTCCCCTGCTCTGGACCGTCCAGTGGCTTCCATCCCACTTCCTGGCCCGCCGCCCACTGCTCAGAGACCAGCGCCCTCCACGGCTCCCTGCACCCTCTCCTCAGACACCCTGGCCTTCCTGCCATTCCTCCAACCTGCCAGCTCAGCTCCTTCCTTAGGACCCCCCTCCCCCAGGTGCCTGGATGGCCCGCACCTTCATGTCCCTCAGGCCCGAGAGGCACCAGCTCCCCAGAGAGTCAGGATATCAGCCCCACCCCCTCTCTCTTTCATCACATCTGTCCCCATAAGAACAGAAGCCCCACGAAGGCAGGGCCTTGTCCTACCGCCGCACAGGCTCTCACGGGTGTGGGGCAGTGAGACCAGCAACTGGCTACAGCAGCAGCGTGGGCGTCTCTGACTGGGGTGCTCACCTCCCTTCGGGTGTTAATGGAAGGTACTCTTCAGGCAAAGCAAGCATGACAATCACATGGATACAAACAGGTCTTAGTATCTCTAATTTCCAAATACTAATACTCTTTGACTTAAGTTGTGGAAAGGGGACACAAACAGTTCTAAATAAAATAGCATCGTTACCCTTAATAAATTTCACTAGAACAGTGATAATTCAGTAACTCTGCAGCAGCACTTTCACATACGTTAGGGTGTATGTGGCCTAGGGTGTAACAGTGACATTTCTACAGGTCTTCGGATTCATCCTCAAAGGCACGAATACCAGCTCTGAGAAGAAGGGGGCATAAAACTGAGGGAGAAGAGGCCGTTTACCATGAACTCAAGGAGAGTGGCCTGCTGGGAGGTGTGGCCTTCCACACACCTGAGTGCTAGCAAGTTCCACAGGCTTCTAGAAGCCACTTACATCTTTCAATACCAGAATCTGACTTGCAGCTTTTAGGTACTGCGACTGATGAGTCCCTAGTATTGCGATCTTCTGATACAAGGCTTGACAAACACACCGACAAATGTAAAAGGTACAGCGTGCAAAAGCACGTTAGTGGGGTGCTCCAAGCTGAAAACCTGTATTTGGAAACATAATGAGACAAAGACAACACAGCAGTCAAAGATGTGTAGTTTAAATACCAGTATAAACAATACAAACTGAAATATAAGCCAATGATTCTGACTAGGCCTCAAATTCATTCAGCAGCAAACTTGAATCTAGCTCTGCTAAAAAATTCTAAAAAGCCATCCAGTGAAAGAGGCACCGACAGCTAAGGTTTTTTTCTTTCAAAGACTCAGCTTAACAATTACTTACATGTTTCATAATGAAAAACAATTGAGCAATACTGAGATTCCAAAACTTGACTGAACCAAAACACTATTTTATCACCTTGTGGGAATGGGAGAAGACGGATTTGTGTCATATAAAAATGGGTACATTTTTCTTAGTTTTCTGATTATTTGTGACATATGATATACATATTAACAACAAAAAAATGAACAGATTCTTGGTAACCTTTGCCAGAACGCATTTTCTAGACACTTCTTCCCAGATAATATTAGATAGAAAATGAATGCTAGCGTGGCCTCCGTCAGTCTCTACGACATTCCCAGTCCCGTCCAGGAAGCAAATCCTTTTTCATTAGGACTGAACACCTTCCAAATAGGAAGATGAAAGAACAGAATCCAGACGGCACAAATCACAGTGGAAATTATCCAACAGCTCAAAGACATAGCAATTCTCTATAGCCAAGACCCCTGTGTGGTCAGGCCCCCCGAGATGGCTGTTCTCTTGCTCTCTGTACATCCCCTGCTTGCTCAGTGCCTGCTTCACCTACACCCCAATCACACGACTGACCTTCCTACACACTTGCCCCAGGCCCCAGCTAATGACTGTTCTAGCTTTGGATCAGGACGCTCCACTATGCTTACCAGAGGGGCAGTGAGGGGTGTGCTCCTTCCCTGGTTCCCATGGTAACCGACGAGCCAGCCGGAGGTCAATTCCCCTGTAACTGGTCATCTTCCCTCTCCCCCGCCTCCCCGCCAGGAAGCCAGACTGCTGCCATGTCCACCACACACGGTGGGGTGTCCCTCCAGGACCTTGCTTCAGACATGGAAGCTCGCCGTGGCCACTGAACCATCCGTGTCTCCGTCGCTGACTCTGGGCTCTTTCTTAGGTCTAAGCTGGGCAAACACAGGCCTTGCAGGCTGCGGGGTGCGGCCCAACAAACACCCTCGGTATCCAACCTTACGTGTGTGTTTACAGTAACCCCCCAGACTGCTCCACGTTTTAAATGCAGACCCCTAGGGACTCAGCCCCAGGCTCATCCCACAAGGGCCGACGACCCCTCCAGGGAAGCGAGTAGCTGGGTCCGGGGCCCCGGTGACCACAGGCAGGGCTCCAGGCGTGTACTCTGGGTGCCCGAGCCCCTCGCAGAGCAAACCTCAGGGACCTGGGCCACAGCTCAGCCTGCTGAGTGAGCCAGGTGCAGAGTCTGGAGGCAGCAGACTGCAGCTCAGTCCCTCTCACGAGCCTGACAGCGTCGGACAAGCTACTACACCTCAGTGTCTTCATCTCAAAACAAGGCCAATGACAACTCACCCACATGTTCTGAGAAATCAAACCACCAATCCGCTCAGTACACGTCAGCCCCGCCTGCACTGCTCCTAACCCACGAGCGGTCATGTGCTCTGGACTCAGGACAGAAAAGTCCTAAGGGGACACGCTGGACACTGGGTCTGCGATCAGAAGCGAGAGCTCAGGACGTAGACACATACACCATCGCTCCATTATGTCGAAATGGACTTATTTTTACCTTTTGACATGTCTTAGTTCAGATTTTGTACCTAAGTGTCTTAACTGAGTAAACCCGTCTTCAGTCTTAGTACTAAAGCTTTTCATGGAACTGTTTCTCCTTAATTCAAAATTACCCGCCGACAGTCCCTGAAGGTGGATGTTAATCAAATCTAATGGGCTGCCATGTCCAAGACAGAGCTACCCAAGTTTCAGAATGTTTTCTTCCTAACATTCCATCACAGATAAGGTAATATAAATAATTACAATGAAGTGATTAGTTGATGACTTTAAATTTTTCCTAAATAATGCGTTTTATCCAGATCTCTAGGAAATACTCTATTTTTCTAGTTTTTAGAATTAAGATTTCCAAGTCATGCCATAAAAATGATTGATTCAGCAACCAGTTGTTTAACTGCTATTCCTATATAAGGGCTGTGTTGATCCTATAATCCTATATATAATCCTATATAAGGGCTGTGTTAAGAGGGGACACACCCCATAGTAGAGGGGATACAAATGAGAAAGACAGAGTCCCACCTTCATTCCTTCAATCAGCAGAGGTGTGTTGAGGTGCCAGGCGCTTGACCTACATCCACAGGTGAAGGAAGCAGACGCTACTCCGCACCGTGAACAGAGGGACACACTGAACAAGTACAGAAAATGCACTGTCGGGCCGTGATGTGTGCTCTGAAGGAAAGCAAGGGGGGCTGCTGTCTTAGATGGGGGTGACACGGGAGCCTATCTGGGGAAACGTCCCTAGAAGAAGGCACAGCAGGTCCAAGGGTCCTGGGACAGAACATGCCCTGCTAAGGCGTCTTCATGCATTCACAGCTTATAGCGGGGTGGGGAGGACTGATGAATGGTCAAGTGCAACCCACCGAGGGCTGTGGGAAGACAGAAGGGCACAGGCTCCCCCTGAAGGAACAGGAGGGAAAGGCAGGGGCTCTGGCACAGAGGGAGCACTATCTACAGACAGACAGGTGTGAGAAAGGGCCCGTCACAAAGCCGGCACGGCTGGAAGGCCGAGTGGGTGTGAGGGCCAGCTGGAAAGGCTGATGGGGGCAGATGGCAAAGGAGCTCGTTCTCCGTCTGAGGACCTGGATCTGCAGCCTGAACATGAGGGGGGTCTGTGAGGGGCTGGAGCAGAGAGGGTGAACTGCGTGGACAGCAGCGTGGGCATCTGACCAGGACAGGCCCGAAGAGCTGGTGACGCAGGAGCCGGGGGTGTCTGCCGACGTGGGGCTCTCTGAACCAAAACGGGGTCCACAGCTGGACACAGGTGAGACTGCATCAGTTCACCTAAGGCTCTAACCTTCTGTAGGTGAGAGAATCCACTTAAGGTTTACAACGTAGAGTTGGAAAACTCACAATGGCTATAGATTCATGACTGAAGGAAACTGTCAACAGCAAGCAGAAGTGCACTTCGTTCACTTTTAATACAAAACACTCCCCATTACTAAGCTTCGACACGACCACCATCCTTCACAGCACACTGTTCCATCCAATTTTCTAACTCGAGAACATCCTCCAGGTGCTGCCGAGTGACTTCCTGAACTGCCTTCCTGCTCCCTGCCCTAAGTTTTCCCAGAGAATGTGGTTCTGATTAGCAAACAACAGTCTGAACAAGGCTGCTTCTATCAAGTGTACATCCAAGGTCATTACATCCAAAAGGTTGGAAAGGACTCTATAAACACCTCCTGCGCTGGAAAAAGAACTTGGGAGAGGCTCTGTATAAGCACACAGATCCGTGGCAATCAGAACACGTCCTCTCTCCTCCCTGTGACATGAATGCAGTGGCCAGCGGAAACCATTCTTGGAGTGATGGAGAACTTGGGCAGACACACACAGGACTGAGCGACAGACATCTGTGAATGCAGGGCAGGGCGCTGGGAACAGGGAGGCTGAGCTACTCAAGACCCAGGAGGGTGGCAGTGGGGAACCTGTGTCACAGCACTAGTGCCTGTCACTGGACCCGTGACGAGACACAGACACTTCTCTAAGGGAAAATTCATCAAGTGACGATCGGGAGAGGGTGGGAAAGGCAGTCAGTCCAGAGAGCTGGAGGCCATGCCACGTGCCGGCTGCCCTGCTCTCGAGTGCTGAAAGATTCGATGCTACCGTGCACTTTGTGTGGGTTAAGATATACGTAACGTGGAATTTACCATTTTAACCGTTTTTAAGCGCACACCTCAGTGGCACTAAGTACACTCACGCTGCCGTGCAGCCATCGCTGCGATCCATCTGCAGAGCTCTTTCATCACCTTAACACTAAGCACAGGTACATACTGACTCTGGTGGAACCTGCCCCCGACCCCTGCTTAGGGGACGTGGAATCCCAGCTCCTCGTATCCAGAGCTCAGGGCTGCCTCCCCCGTCTCGCTCTCACACTGCTGCTCTGCTCAAGTCTCTCTACTTTGCTATTCTAGACCTGCTGTAAATCAATCGTGTCTCCCCAAAGTCACCTGTTGACACCGTAGCTGCCAGTACCTTAGAATTTGGTGTCAGGGCCTTTACAGAGGTAATTGTTATTCTTAATTAGGGTGGGGCTAATCCAATCTGACTGGTGTCCTTAGAAGAGACTGAGACGTAAGGACAGAGACACAGGGGTGCATGTGAAGAGAGGAAAGACCAGAGGAAAAGACAGGACACAGTGAGGAGGGTGCCAACAGAAGTCCACACCTTGATCTTGGACTTCTAGCTTCCAGAACTGTGAGAACACTGATTTCTATTGTTTAAGCTCCCCGCCCCCGCATCTGTGACAGCCTGCTATAGACAAGGCTGTGTCCTCAAATGTCATACACATTAAACCTAATCCCCACTGTGAAGGTACTGGAGATGGGGCAGCTGGGAGGTGAACAGGTCATGAGTGTAGAGCCTTCATGAATGGGATTAGTGCCCTCATAAAAGGGACCCACACAGCTCCCTCACCCCTTCCACCACATGAACACACAGGAATCGGGCCCTCACCAGACACCAGATCTGCCAGCACCCTGCCCTCGGGCTTCCCCAGCCTCCAGAACTGTGAGACAAATTTCTGTTATTTATAAACCACCCAGTCTATGGTCTCCTGTGAGAGCAGCCTGGACAGACAGAGCCCTAGCAAACTAACAGAGGGACTGACAGCGAGAATTTCCAAATAGCTTCTCTTTGCTGTAGGACCTGCATTCTCCAGGCGAGGACATGCCTGCTGTCCTTCTCACAGCCTTGCTTCTTCCTACCTCTACACCTGTGCTTCTACTATTCCTTTAGCAAAAGGAACTGAATCCTATTCTCAGCCTCCACAAACCCTTCCAGCCTGCAGGCCCACAGGGCACTTCCCGCTAAGGCCAGTGCACAGGGAGCTTTCCAACTTCACCTGAAAGCCTACAGCTGCCCACTTCTACTTCCACTTAGCATCTACCATCCTATATCCAAACCCTCTAAACCGCGACTCTGCTGACCTTTCCCAGGCATCTGTCTTAACAAGCTCCATAGAGACAGATTCCTTAGAGGCAGAAATGAGAGCTGAACGTCTCGGTCTCCCTTATTCTGCCCCGTGTGGGTCCTTCCCCTCTCCTGGCTCACTGTTCTCCTCTGTAAACTGAGAGGTTTTGAACAATAGCCTCTGTAAGGGCATGGACCTCAGTGCACACAGTAGGACTTTAATAAGTGCAGCTGGAAGGGCTCGTTGGCTTTAACAAGGTGAACAGCAAGGTAACTAACCGTGGGGTAGATGTGGGTGGCGTTTCAGAAAAAGCAAATTCACGAGGCTTTCGAAGAGGCCAGTCTAGACTCCACAGAGGCCTCAGTCAGCGTGTGTTAGGACACATGATACACAGAAAAGCATCAGAGCTGTTCTGCTTCTGGGGTTCCGTGGCCAAACAAGAGCCACTGACAACAAATTCCAGAAACTCCAAGTGAAAGTCAGGATTTCGGCCAGACTCTAGATACCTAGTTACAAATTCAAGTTAACCGTGCACTGTGGGTCTAAGTATTAATTCTAATAAGCACACATGAAGCAATATTAAATGACTGAAGCCATACTTAGATGTGGAATAACTCATTCTTAAATTCTAGACCGTATTAAGTATTTCCAAACAGACAGAATAATAAGCGTAAACCAACAAGGCCTTTCCATGGAAGCCCTATGTCAGTACTGGAAACTTCACTTCTGACATGCCTTCAACAAATGATGGAGGAAAAGGACCGGCAGCCAAGTACCAGGTTACCAAGTCCTATTCTCCAATTTAAAATCCATACATCATCTTTCTTACTGCTGGGGTCTGGATCCATCGACAGTGTCTGGTTATTAACTGCAAGTAGCAGGGGGAAATCTGCCATCTGTTCCTCAGCTCCCTTAAGCACAGACTCCCTGACTCCACACACTGCAAGCTCCTTCTGCATTTTCCTGTCTTGACCCCATCCTCATGCAAAAGTTCTCTAGGACGGATCTGCTGTGGAGGGAAGGGAGGGGGGACAGGGACACCAGGGCAGAATGAGCCGAGTCTCCTGAAGCACAAACGCCCTCCTGAGCTCTCTTCCCTGATCTCTGCGGGGTTCCTGGAAAGCAGAAATGATAGAAAACAGGAGCAAACTCACAGCTCGAACAGGTGCCTGCTCACTTCTGCATCTACTGCACTGAGCGGATCGTCCAGGAGGTAGACGTCTGCATCCTGATACACGGCTCTAGGAAACGTAGAGAGATGTCAGGAGAAGGACGCTTCAAGCTCCCTGTGTCCCATCTTTGAATCAAGATGGTGTCCAACAAGTCATTATTCATTCCAAGAGCCCATGGAAAAGGGCCAAGACCCTGCTTCACACAGGGCCCACCCGGTGAGCGAGGTCTGCGTGCTCGCTTCCACTAGGAGCCATGGAGGAGGGAGGGGCAGGAAGGCAACTGAAACGCCATTTACCTGGCGAGGTTGACCCGGGCTTTCTGGCCTCCACTCAGCGTGGTTCCCCGGTCTCCTATCGCGGTTAGGTCTCCATCCTCCAAAAGCTGTAAATCCTACATGGAGACAGAAAAGGGGAAAAAGAGAAAGATTTCAAATGTGTTCTCCTCCTGCCATCCTAACCTTTTTTAGCATTAGTTCTTCATACAAGTATTTGATCAAAAGCAATGGGTACATTTCATAGTGACTAAACCGTAACTTTAAACATTTTAAAACACATCTCTCGGGGTTCTTCGTGTGTTTACATTCTGTAGTTTTTCACAGCATTTATGCATTAGGTCATTTTAACAGATACTTATTGAGGATCGACTATATGCCAGGCACTGTTCCGGGCACAGTGAATTCAGCCATGAGGAAACATAGTCCCTAGAGACGCTTTCCACGGTGGGAGATGGAAAATTAACATGAGTGCAAGTACTAAGGACTAGAAGAAAAAAGAAGCCTACTTAGGGGGATAGGGAGTAAAGGAGGGAAAGTGAGTCACTACTGGGGTCGAGAAGGGCCCTGTTCAGACGGGGTTGGAGCAGATGTTCTGGAGGGTGAAGAGTCTTACACTGACCTGGAGAGGGTGCTCCGCACAGAGCAGTGAGCGAGTACAAAGGCTATGGGGCAGACGGCCAAGGTGTCCCGGGCCAAGCAAGGAGGCCCGGAGAGCAGAAGCAGAGTGAGAATGAGGAGAACGAGGGCAGAGTCAGGGCAGGAGGAGCCCTGGTGTCAGCCCAGTAAAAGGGGGAGGGGAATGGGGGGCCTGACACAGTCTGAGACTTTTAAGGAATCACTTCTGCCTCTTTGTGGAGAACAGACAGTAAGGGGGGAGGGTGAGAGAGGACACCAGTTAGGAGGCCACGGCAGTAACCTAGGTGAGAGATGACGGTGGCCAGGACCAGAGTGGGAGAAGTGAGGACGGAGAGACAGCATCACACACTCCACACACACTGGGAAGGTGGAGTCTATAAGGCCTGCGATGGGACAGGTGTAGGAGGTAAGAGAAGAGGACTGTGTTGTGTGGGGCATGAGGAAGGGGAAGAACAGGGTCTCCATTTACTGGGTTGGGGAAGATGGTGGACGCAGGTTTAGGAGACTTCGCTTGTGGACAATGAGATGACCTCTTGGTGATGTCACAGTGCAGCTGGATATGCAAGTGGGAAGGTCTGTGCTAGAGGCCCAAGTGTGAGGGCTGGTGTCCCAGGCTGGTGAAGGCACAGGACTTTTTTTTAATCAAGGAATAAGTGTGTCTTAAACTGGACATCTTGCTGATCTCGGCCTCAGCTTCCCACTTTCAGAGAAGGGATAACACCTGACCTCTGTCTTCACAGTGATACTTAAGACATACTGACAGAGTGACAGACAAGGTCTATACAAGAAATGGGAGAAGAGCAGCTGGGCAGGAAAGACAAAGCGAAGCAAATAGTGTGCTCGAGGGACACCAAGCAGATCAGCTGGAACAAGTAGGTGCCTGTCCGTGGAAGCAAGAAAAACTCAAGTTTAAGAAGGATGTGAAGATTTGACTTGAGGATCTGGGAATCTATCAAAAGTTCTATTTGAATATTATTTAAGAAGTAAGTAGACCAATCAGAGTACCTGGGAAAAAAAGAAAAGATGACAAGAATATCCCCCAAATGACAAGATTACAACCAGATTTAAGTTACACAGTGTTATATTAGAAACCTTTACTTAGATTGCCTATAATTATCACTGGACACAACGTGGCACAGACAAGCAGAGTTTGTGGGGAGTTTGTCATCTACTAAACCCCTCAGGCATCAACCTAGGATACACAGCACTATCTTTCTGCAGATGAAGCCCTCATTTCTTTGTCTCTACTTCAGCAAATTTGGGGAGAAAGCAAGTGGCACACTGGGGCCTCCATGATAAACAAGTTGTTTGATCTCCCTAAGTCTCATTTCCCTCTTCTACAGAATGTGCTGCAGAAACAAGAGTCAGTAAACTCAAGGATGCTGTGAGAATCAAAAGAAGAGTCTTGGGCTTCCCTGGTGGCGCAGTGGTTGAGAATCTGCCTGCTAGTGCAGGGGACACAGGTTTGAGCCCTGGTCTGGGAGGATCCCACATGCCGCGGAGCAACCGGGCCCGTGAGCCACAAGTACTGAGCCTGTGCGTCTTGAGCCTGTGTTCCCCAGCAAGAGAGGCCGCGACAGTGAGAGGCCCGCGCACCGCAATGAAGAGTGGCCCCCGCTTGCCAAAACTAGAGAAAGCCCTCGCACAGAAACGAAGACCCAACACCGCAAAAATAAATAAATTAATTTTTTAAAAAAAAGAAATGTATTTCCTCAAGTCCATTCTCTACATCTTTATTCCTGTCCTGGACTTGAGGACACGGAGAGGGGGAAGGGTAAGGTGGGATGAAGTGAGAGAGTGGCATGGACTAATATATACCACCAAATGTAAAATAGATAGCTAGTGGGAAGCAGCTGCATAGCACAGGGAGATCAGCTCAGTGCTTTGTGACCACCTAGAGGGGTGGGATAGGGAGGGTGGGAGGGAGACGCAAGAGGAAGGAGATATGGGGATATATGTATTATGTATAGCTGATTCACTTTGTTATACAGCAGAAACTAACACAACATTGTAAAGCAATTATACTCCAATAAAGATGTTTAAAAAAAAAAAAAGAAGTGTATGAACACCGTCTGTAAGTGGAAAAAGGACATGAATTGATTGTAACTTGCTACTGGTGACTTATCCCTATTTTCTCATCAAACCAACAGTGGGACCCCATTCACAGTGTGAATCACAACAGGGAAATCACATGACCCTAAGAAGAAGAGAAATACCATCTCCATCATAACCCTCCCTGACAGCCAGAAAGACACACAGGCACACACAGGTCCCCTGTACCCTCACTGGGTTGCATCAAATGAAAGGGAGCAATTGCTCTGTCGTGAAAATTCATCATTATTTTACATTATTTCTTTGTTAGGCTCAGAAGTTTATACCATCTCTTGCTTTTGGTTTTCACGAAAAACAATGAGCCATTTTAAGATAGGTTTCCAGCCTTAAACACACGCACACGTGCGCACACACAGTTGCTTAGCCTCCGTTTCACTGTTGACAGTCCTTGCAAACTGTTCCACTTAGATTTTATGCCTTGATTTTATGTCATTTTGGTTTCCTTCTCAAAATTGCACCTAGCTATAGCACAGCAATCTTCACCACATTCTAGAAGAGGCACTTAAATCTACTCTTTCATTTAGCACAGTTAGGCCATATGAAACAGGCTCTCTGAGTCTGGTAGTAGGACTTCAAGTGTGTTATTTACTCTGCAAATTATTTATGGACCAGCCCCAAATGGGAAAACCATTTCAAAGGATTTGAAGTAAAATCCAAGTCAGGCTAATTTCCCAGCCACCATTTTCCAATTAGGTTAAAGGGAAAAGCCTGAGTTGAGCATATATTATAGTTCCTCCCACTGGAGGAATTGTTACCTTTCAGTTAAATTTCACCAATTTGCACTGAAAAGCAGTACATAGACTAGAGAAACACAAGGAAATGGCGACGCTCGTTTGACGCCACCCGTCCTGAAGCACATCGAGGGCCCTTCAGCGATGGTGGAGACTTACAGTAGAAACATCACGGAGCAGAGACTGTGTGAGCAGAGACAGATGTGAGGTCCTGGCAGAGGAGGGCTGGGTTCCAGAGTCAAACAGCAGGAGGCCTCTGCCTTTCTTCACAGTTTTTCTTCCATTTGGAATTGGCCCTCCTCGCACAGCCTGTCAATATCCTGCCCATCTTTCCAGGCTCAGCCCAAACACACTCTTCCATGAAACCATCCTGGAGTCGTCTCTTTTCCTGCTGGGTTCCTAAGGCTTTGCTTACATCTTTCATGAAGGACCTTCTCTCAGCTCCTGGAGTGGGGAAGCTCTGTGCACCAAGCACTGTTCTGAAACCTGATACAGATTATCTCTAATCCTCACAACAAGCTGCACAGTAAGTACTGGCCCCATTTCACAGATGAGGAAACTGAGACTAAGTGAGGTTACATCGTTGGTCTGAGGACTGTCAGCTTTTAAACAGAAGAGCTGGAATCTGAACCAAGCTCACGGCAGTTCATAGCCTTCTGCTCTTTCACATCATGCTATCCAAGTGGTGACTGAAAAGTATATTTGAAATGAAGGCAATACTGAAATAATTCAAGACTTGAAGGCCCCTATACCTAGATGAGGAAGTATCAATAAACTTATTATTTTATGACTGTCAAGGCAATGTGAAAATGTCCAAGTTGGCAGGAATGTGGTAAATATGAAATAAAAGGACAAGCTTGTGGGCACCCAAGAGGGGTTTGTAAACTCAAGCGATCTATGTGAGAAAATATTAAACTAGACTTTATCACTGTGATACCTTTAAATATGTATCGCCTGAAAGTTTTTAAGAGCCTTCAAGTGGCTGAAGATAATATGCAGACAAATGTGACATACTATATTACCTGTGTTATGGTAACAGAATATTTTTATTGTCGGTTTATATAATGTACTATGTGCAGAGCACCTATATAAATATCAACTCAAAAATGGAAGTTAAATACTCAGATACCTTCCTTCTTACATGTCACATTTTATGGATGTGATTCTGCCAAAAACTAGCTGAGCTTATAATTAATAGCTAATTTATTTTCAAAATCACTCTAACATTTATAGAATGCTTGTTACATCCCTAGCAATCAGGTGCTTTAAAATCATTACTGCATTTCATCCTCAAAACAACCTCATGAGGTTGACAGTATTATTATCGCCACTTTACAGATGAAGAAACAGGCTTGTAAGGTTCAGACAATCAACCGAAATCACACACCTGGTCAACAGAGACCCTGAGACCCAATCCCTGAGCCTTCTGACTCCTGGGCCTTGGAGTTGATGTCATCAGCCTGAATCGATGTTGCCAAATGTGATTACATCTTATCTCTCTATTTTGTTACAGAAAAGTTTTCAGCTCAATGAACTTTAATGTTTACTTCAACTAGATATAGTATAATGCATTTATATTATTATTAACATATGTAATTACGTTAACTAGACCTAGTATAATACATCTGTGTTGTTATTAACATATGTAATACAAGAAATGTTGCAGGATTTGTGGGAAGTGGGAGGTAAGGAGATCTGTAAGGAGAAACCTTTATTATATTTATATGCACCTACAGCACATATGTATGGATGTAGAGAAAAGGGCTATAAGAGTAACAATAGCTACCATTTACTAGAAACCTGGCATATTTGCATTTTATAGGCACTGCCCGTAGCCTTTACAGTAATCCCACACCTCCCCCATTTAATAAGAGAGGAAACAGACATATACCTGGAGTTACCACCCAAGACTGTTTCTCTCCAAAGGCCAAGGCTTTTCTACTACCTGTGCAGTCTCTGTATCTACAGGCCAAAATAATTCCAGAATGCCACTATTATCTGTGACTGTCTTAGGCCCATCCACTGACACAGGGATTCCAGAAGGAGATAAGCAGAGGATCTCATTACTCATTAAGTGGTTCCCAGGTGTCGTAAAGACCTTGCTGACCCCTTGCTAATCAGAGTCATAGACGACATTTCAGAGCAGCAGCGAAACCTCTTGGAAACCCTCTGACCCAAGGCCCTCATTTTGCTGCAGAAACGTCAGAGGCCCAGGCAGGAAGCAGGACGTGTCCAAAGTGACAGCAGGCAAGTGACGAAGCCGGGGCCAGGACTCCGCTCTCCGCTCCTTCTCCGCCCTGGGCCTCCCTTCCTGCCAAGGAGGGAATGGGCACGAGGGGCCCAAGTCTATGTCCCGACCACGCAGCACAACAGGAGAGCAGTCCGTGCTTATAAACCTCACATCACGTACAGAAGAATCGCTGTGCAGCCCAATCCCACAGGGGCCCTTCCCACCAGAGTCTGTGCCGCAGGGACACCCGAGGGTGGGTGAAGCCCCAGGACACGGCCCGAGTTACTGGTCCCATCACCCCACGGGGCTGGGGCAAAGCCTTAGCCGCCGGCGAAAACGCTGAACGGCAGCCCCTATCTCAACACCTGCTTTTCTCCAGAGATGCTCAAATGCTGGGGGGAAAGACAGGGCTGAGCGTCACCGAAAGGCAAGGTCGTGAAAGAAACACCCACACACTGGCCTAGGTCTCTAGAGTATGATCTGGGAATCGGGAGCTGGACGTGATTAAAGGTAAAGAGGAAATGTCTGAGATCTGCTTATTCCACATTCAACCTTAGCTTCATCCATCACGTGCTGTTTAAAAAGCTCCTTCTTTTAAATTTCTTCATTTGAGAGGCAGCATGACACTGTGGAAAAGCATGGAGTCTAGAGTCATGCAGGGACAGACTGAACGTGAGGTGCAAATGTTGGGGGCAGCTGTTTCATCTCTCCAAGCCTCAGTTTTACCAACTATAGAATGAGGGTGGTGACATCGAGGACACTCACAAAACATTAATAACCCATATACTCTTTATGTGCGCGCATGAGCGTCTGTGAGCGACAGAAAAATGATTTGCACGTGGACTCTGAATAAATGAGAGCTACCGTTCTCACTGTTACACATGTGCTTTCCCCCTTCTTTTCTTCCACAATATATATACCACTTAACAAAAACCTAGCTCATTACTGCTAACTTGATGTCATTTCCGCAAACGCACAATCTCCCATTAACAGTAACCTGGGAGAAAGAAATAGAAGCCCATTAAACGAGCAAGCAATTCTGTTCTGTCCACATCAACTGATGCAATCTATGATGTTCAAGCCATTGTCCAAGCAGAATTACTCTTTCCTCACAAGGCGGGTTTGGAGCCCTCAACACCTCGCCCTTGAAAGCCTGTCCCAGCCTTTTCCTCGCAGCATAAAAGGGCAGTCAGACGTCCAGAATGCACTGAACAGACCCCGGGGGAGCCCTTTAATGCTATTATTCACTGATTTTTATCATCCAAGAGAGTAACATCGTATTTATCAGTATTTACATTTTTCTTTCTTTTTGCCAAATTACATTCTATCAGATAAGTTCAGTTTTCATCATTCATTCACTAAGTTCATTTAAATCCCAACAGAGTTAAATGTTTTCAGGTGCCATTTTCTGTGAAACTCAATGCCATTTGTGAAAACAACCTTTCCCCCAGTGAAACAATGCAATAATAAGAAGAAATTTTAAAGCGTTCCGCTTTCCTTAAATAATAAAACACAAGTCAAAAATGGAGAGAGAAACCTACAGACTGAAAGGGAAGGAGGAGGCATCAACAAAGCGCAGAGGGCAGACCTTATGTGGAGCCTGATTCAAACCACCAGCGAATGAGATTTCTCAGTGAGATGATTAACAACATGTAAACACGGACTCGAAGGTTGACGATATTCAGGAATTTTGGTTACTTTTCAGGTGTAATAACGTGGCGACTTTTTTCCAGAGGCTTTCCTATCTTTTAGAGAAAACTAGTGAAATGTTTACAGATGAACTAATCTGAGGCCTAGGACCTGCTTCAGAATAATCTGGGGTGGGAGTGGGGCCGGCAGTGGGCAGGGGTAGGGATACAGCAAGACTGGCCACGAGCCGATCCTGGCTGAAGCTGGGGGTGGGTTCATGAGTATTCATTACACTGCGCTCTCTAGTTTTTACAAATTTTTGTAATTGCCCATTAAAAAGAGAAGTTAAAAGTGAATAAAACTTCACAAAGTGAAACAACTCCCTCCCCCAAAAAAGACATTCTATGATTGTTGGTATCACATCAGGATTCAAATAGTGACACACGTGTGTGCATATTCACTCAGAAGACGAAAGTATTAAACAACATGAAAAGGTCTTTCAAAATTTGAAAGAAACTTTTAACAAACCTTGTAGTTTAAACCAACGCTCTCATTATTTGAAATTCGAATATATGCAACTCAAAAGTCATGACTCACTTTTTTCAAAGCACAAGCCTTTATTACTTTTTCATATCGTTCTTTTTCATATTTCTTCCCAAATAGAATATTACTCCTCAGAGTTTCTGAAAACACCCAGGGCTGCTGAGAAACATACGCGATCCTCCCGTGCACGCTGACCAGCCCCTGGCTCGGGGGCAGCTCCCCCAGCACAGCACTCAACAGTGACGACTGAAACAGATGGCAACACACACGCGTGAACAGGCAGCACTCGGGACGGACACGCCCCGCAGAACAACTGTCCCCACCCTGGGCGCTTGATAAACGATAGAACCCTTTCCTTTAGAATAACGAAAAAATAAGATTCTAAACCCTTTCATTCAGAATCTTATTCTGAAGGAATAGGATTAGGTACAGTATTCTAAACCCTTTCGTTTATAATAGGATTAAGGCAGTCAGGACAAAAAAAAAAAGGAAGAATAACACCATTGGTCAAGGTAAACTAATGGCTGATAAGGATTATTAATAAAGTGCTCTATTCAGCAAAGACTAATTAAGAATGTTTAACATTCTTAAGTAGCAGAGCAGCCCAGCAGAACGTGTATTTCATGTATCTGATGTATAATGCAGCTGTTCTTGCATCCAGGTATCCTTTACTTGACAAATACTTGCTCTTAAAAGCAAGTGTGTGAAGTGTGTGAAGAATATATCCAAAATTATTAAAAGAACTCTGAAGTGAGTTGTGTCCAAAGAGCAAAAGTCCGTCATAAAGGAAGTCATCCCCCTCTTGTGTACACATCCCCCTCTTGTGTACACATCCCACGTTTAGGTTCCTGTATTTTGTTGTTTCAGACCAAGCGCACGTGCACATGTCCTTCAAATCTTTAACAACACACAGGGGTGGCGCGTCTGTGTCCACAGCATCACAGCGCTCACCACACTGGGCTGAAATGATCTGCCTGCGTGTCTGTCTCGCCCCAGAACCTGGCTGCCTCTGGAGGGCAGAGGCGTCTGCGGCTTGCTCACGTCTGTATCTTTAGCTCCAGCACATGGCTGCACACTCACTACACGTGCACTGACGGGACCACGTCAAGTCACATGAGGAAATGCTCAGAGCTTCCCGGAAGAGCCATTACAACCTCCAGACCTCCTGGAGGGCCCACTGTGACAGAAAGAAGTACCCACGGTCTCATTCTGTCCTGAACAGCTGTCCCATAAACCATTTCCTTCACTGAGACGTCCAAAGTCCCGACAAGCAGTTCCCAACTGTGTAACAGGAAGCACCAGGAAGGAAAACACAACGTGCTTACTAGCTCATTAAAATAATGTACTTAATAGAATATTCAGTATGAGGTTTTTAATCATTTGTAAGGTTTCATTATGACCCTTGGTTTTAACTGTCTATTTCATTAATCTCCACAAGGTGGCAGCATAAGTGCATACATGCCTGGCCCTTTACTAATAAATAATTTGAAATCTCCACTAATCGCTCCATTTTCATTTGATAAAGAATGAATCTCAGTAACGCTCAGCACGCAAAGGGTCACTTTGTAGGATAAAGTCACTCTTGGTAAATTAACTCTTACAAATAACGGTCAAAGCTCTAATTTCACGAGAGCTCTAATTGAACACCAACAGCAACAAAAAATGGGGAATAAAGAAATTAATTATGGGGACTTCCCTGGTGGCGTAGTTGTTAAGAATCTGCCTGCCAATGCAGGGGACCCAACACAGCCAAATATAAATTAATAAATTAATTTTAAAAATCTATTAAAAAATTAATGATGACATCATGGGTCAGAGTGATAAAGCCTCATATTTATACATGTTTCATGCATTACCTGTCCTGGCTAAACAGGGGCAATAAAGTACTTCTACTGTAAGAAAAACAAAAAACATGAAGACACCTGCGACAGCACACAGTCCAACGCGAGGGAGAAGGACAAAGTACTCATCGTGCCAATCACAGGTAGTATTCCTGAGAGACGTAAGAGTGTATGCATGTGTTAAGAAAACTGTCAGTAACTGCTAATGTTTAAAAAGAAAAAAAGAGTGGTTACACTTGATTAGTAAAATGCCCAAAAGATCGAAAGGCAGAGTCTGCATCATCTTCAAAATGAAAAATTTTGCTGGAAAGAACTAAACTAATTATAAAACATTCACATACTAAAAAAAAATGACAATTATTTTTCATCACCAAAAAAACTAGCCCCAGATTTTATAGGTATTACAAATCTATCAATAAGAGGCTAGATTTTAATACATGAGAAACATTTTTTAAGCTTCTCCATTCCTTTCTTCCTGTCTGACACCTATTAGGGTTCCCATTTTACTACCTTTCACTCAGTTACGACAACAAAACAACGAGCCACATACAAACAACAGCTTCGCGTTGCAGCCCTTCACAGTCTGTCAGGGCCAGACACTGAGTTCCCTCCCTGTTCAGGCTTCAGGATCGGGCACTGCTCCGCCGTGACCAGAAGGGGGCAGCACTCGACAGCGCAGGGGTACCGGGGACTGTCTCCTGATTATACAGGCTCTGGGGGCACTGACTCAACAAGGACGGTCTGAGGGATGATCATCTGATCATCAGCTGAGCCCCACTCTGTAACAGAGACCGTTTGAAATCCCTGCCCGGTGGAGATTTGGAGGCTCTCACAGGACCATTTATTTTAAAGCTTCAAGACTGAGACCAAGTCCCATCATTTCATGAATGAGACCTGGGTCCCCGAAAACCTCCCCCACCTGCCCACCTGGCTGTATAGCGGAGCAGGTTACAGAGCTCATGTCTATCTCCTGCCTCCCAACCCAGCATGGCCTTCATTCAGAAGCAGCTTCTCCCCAAAACCTCCAACGTCTGTGCCCCTCCCACTCCGAGGGCTCTCTCACCCATGACCTAAGTCGACAGGTCCTAATTACTAACGACCCCAGCGTGGAGCAGAATCCTTCCATAGGCAAGGCCAGGACAACAGAATAGGGTGTTCTGTAGCATAATGCAAGTTGCACAGAAGTCTGAGAACATGTTACTAAGTTCTTGAAAGAAGAACAAAGGAGCTCATTTTAAAATGCTACATAGTTTGGTACAAAAGAAATTTGGTAATGGGTCATTCAAAGTACGTGTTAGCATTCACAGAGTCGCCTTTATAATGGAACTTTAATGGTGCTTTCCATAAATGTGCATTATGATGAGAAATACCACGCTGGAGGAAAATCCATGTGCACAGAGGACCATGAAACCAGGGGGAAGGGGGCACGTTTCGGTCGTCGGTAAAGGGGCTGCACAGGGTGTGCAATACTGACAACTTCTTGAGAGCAGACCCTGTGTTTTCTCTTTGCCTGCACATCATAAATAAACCAAGTGTTGGAAAATCACCAGTTCTCCCTGTCAGCTTGCCACACAGTGCAACCCTCCAACTGGGAATCACGGGTGCTCACTATGTCCTCCTGCTGTCGCCTCCCCGTCCCTGGCTGCCACCAAAGTAGCCAGAACCATCTAGAAGCTTAGGATGGGGAGCCTCCACCCTGCCCGACAGTAAAGATCTGTATGAAGATAGACGGCTTCACTCCATATGTAATAAGATGATCTGAGAATTCAAGGCAAAAAACGTACACTGATTCCCCAAAGCCTCTGGTCTGTAACAACTGTTTATGTACCTGTTAGTTAACCCATTCCATACTGCAGCATTTTGTCTGTCCAATCCTATAAAGTCTAACATTACAAACGTATGTACTTGAAGTTCAAAATGTGCTAATACTTTGAAAGCTCTCCTGAAAATGAGATAGAGAGCAACATGTCAAACGTCTTAGGCTGATTTTATACTTAATCTCCAGTAGTTGCAAACCTATTCCTGATTTTGAGAATTTTTATAACATACTTCCAGTAAATGAGCAAATCACACTTTACAACATGAGTAAAGTCTGAAAATTCTCTGAAAAATCTATGTCTTCAGTTGTCTGTTAGCAGTCAAGATCTTAGAATGAAGAATTTGTTACCTCATCCCAAAAGGTAGTGAAATCTTGCACGTCCACTACGGTTTTACCATCTGATGGCAGCTGAGGGTTGCACTGGGATACCTCATCAAGTAACGGAAAAGTCTACAGAAAAGGAAAAACAGGTTGTTTAAACTGCAGGAACAAAACGCAAACAAAAATAATCGCTTTCCTGGAATTTGCAAGAAAAAACTTTATACAGCTTAGATATCATTTTGCCAACTATATTTAAAATGTTGGTTCACATCAGAAGATACTAAATAATATATAGAATAATATATACTATTATTATAGCATATAGTATATACAATCATACAGTATACATAGTATACCTGTATAGATTATTATATATATTATATATATTACATATGTTTGTGTGTGTATGTGTGTATATATATATATAAATATAAATAAAATAAAGACTTCCAGGCCATGAGAAAAGTTGTAACTTTCTCAACAAGGATACTGGTTTACTAGATCCTCCTTAAGGAGAAAATACGGCTGCAAACTCCAACACATGTAAAACCTGGACATTTTTATTGTTTTACTTTTGTGTCACTAACAACAAACAGGGGAGCTGGAGTTGGTAGGAACTGATTCCATAAATATTTCCTGAATCCCACCATATCCCAAGCACCATGTGACATACTAGGAACACAGAGAGGAAGGTCATTCCCAGGCCTTCAGGAATCAGGTGGCACAGGACAGGCTGGGGACACAAGACAAATGGCAGAGACTCAACGAAAACCCTGGCTCTGCCTGTTTTGAGTCGTGACCTTTTCCTGGGCACTTAAGTATACTCTGGTCTTCTCACGCACGTTAACTCAATATCACTGCTTGTCATTAACTATCACTCAAATCATTGCTCTAAAAATGAAATGCTCTTATTAAGTTTCTATCTCTTAAAAAATAGTTTACAAGCATCTATTCACAATCACTTGTCTCTCCTTAGTCAGTGCCCTCTCTCCTCGACAGCAGGAATGGCCGCATCTCCCCCTTATTATTTTCATACCACTTAGGAGCTATTCAATGCAATTCAGCTGAACAGACCAAGTCCTGCGAACCAGTACTGAACTAACATAATCATATATAGGAAAACTCCCTCTTGCCCTGCAAATGCTGCACATATTTCAACAAGGAAACCTACAGTGGTAGAGAAATACCACCCTCGCTGCCCACTCTCCACCCCCCAAGAACTGTGAATGTGTGGCAAAGACTGCTGGCTGTCCCCCAAATCTGCTCTCGTTCTTCTGAGGTAACAAACCCCAGATTTCAGCTGGCACCTGGCAGCCTGGAAGGAGGCCCTCTCTCTCCAGCCCCCCGAGCAGATAGATGTAGCCATGTGACTACATCCAGGCCGGTGGAAAGTGACAACGTCTGGGACCTTCATCCACCCCACGGCCTAGGCCTCGGAGGTTACCAGCTGGGTCAAGGCCACAGGCAGAGGAGTAACAAGAGAGAAGGAGTCTGGGTCCTAACACCCTGGAGGATCATACTAACCGTGGAACTTGTTATGGAGTGAACTGTATCCCCACAGAAAAGCTATGTTGAAGTCCTAACCACAGTTACCTCAAAACGTGACTTTATTTGGAAATTGGGTTGTTGCAGATGTAATCCATTAAGGTGAGATCACACTGGAGTAGGGTGGGCCTGATACTGAGCAGGACCCTGCAGGGCTCCTGGGCTCAAAAGCCTTTCTGAGTCACACATTTCTTTGATTACAGGAAATAGGCTTCGTTCAGCCTCCACGACCTTCCCTGCGTTCCAACAGGCAGGTTCAAGCTGTTGTTAATTAGGGGAGGGAGGGGATGGGAGACAAGGAGAAACAGTCAGGAGAAACAATAGTACAGCCTTGCGGGCAGGGTCCTGGTTCCCCATTCAGGGATACACAGAGAGATATCTTTTAGCTGTTTTGCAGATACTGAAACCCACACGAGGTGGGACAAGTTAATGGTTAAGCACATAGACCCCAGACCAGTTGGAACCAGAAGGTCGATGATGTTGACTCCCACTTACCTCCCCACCAACCAATCAGAAGACTGTCCACCAGCTGACCACGCCCTCTTTGAACCATTAATATAAAACTTCTCACTACCCCCTCCAGGCTGGGACACACAGTTTTGAGGGCATTAGCCCACTGTGGCCCCCTTTGCCTGGCAACAGAATAAAGCTATTCTTTTCTACTTCACCCAAAACTCTGTCTCCGAGATTTAATTCCGTGTTTAATTCCGGATACAGAGGCCAGAGTCGGCTGCCGGCCCTGAATCCAATATCATTGGTGGCCTTGTGAGAGATGCAGAGACAGATACACAGACAGAAAACCACCACACGACGACGGAGACAGAGGTTGGAGTGATGGCAGCTACAAGCCGGAACGCCAAGGTGTGCCTGCAACCGCCAGAAGCTAACAGAGGCAAGGAAGGATTCCCCCATCGACTAAAAAAATATATTCACAATCTAAAAGTTGACAGTGCTGTTTTATTCTGCAGTATTCTTAGGACTTCAAGCCCAGCAGGCAGCATCTCAAGTAACTACGAGAAAACTGCTCCAAGGAGGCGAGGCGGAGCTAGGATATACAGGAGTTTTCCAACAAAGGGCAAGTAGTAGGAACAAAAGATTACTGTTAATTAAAGAAAACCAGATATCCCAAGTTAAGGAATTTAGTGCTTTTCTAAGTATGGGAAGACGCAAGAGTCTGGGCTCACCGAAATCATTCCCTTGATATGCACCTCAGCTATCTGGGGCCAGTATCCTGTGTTTTCACATCCTGAGTTTCCTCGGGGCTCCCCACAGGGAGTGGCTGCAGTCTGATGGCCGCTAGATGGCAGGTATTCTTTCCCTTCCTGAGTTTCCTCAGGGCTCACCAGCTCATTCTGGAGCGCTGCAGTCGCTGATGAGTGTGACATCCTTGTTTACTGATACGGCAGGCAATATTCCATTTCTCACCCCTTGCAGGATTCAGAGAGATCTTGAACCTCCTGACATCTTGATTTCAGACTTCTAGCTTCCAGAACTGTGAAACAATAAATTTCTGTGGTTTGGGCTTCCCTGGTGGCGCGGTGGTTGAGAGTCCGCCTGCCAATGCAGGGGACGCAGGTTCGTGCCCCGGTCCGGGAAGATCCCACATGCCGTGGAGTGGCTGGGCCCGTGAGCCATGGCCGCTGAGCCTGCGCGTCCAGAGCCTGTACTCCGCAACGGGAGAGGCCAAAACAGTGAGAGGCCCGTGTACCGCAAAAAATAAAAAAATTTTTTAAAATAATAAAAAAAAAAAGAAACCGGGCTTTGGGCATAATCCTAGTTCTGTCATTTACAAGCTATGTGAGGATGGGTGAGCTATTTCACCTGTTACAAGAGCCTGTTGCAGATAAGTCATGAATATTCCTCCCTCTCTTGACTCAATTCCCTCCCTTTTCCCTCGACCCTCCTATATACATACAGTGCCTCAGCCCAAACTGGGTTGAGAAGTTGATTTGCGAACTAAGTTCCTGCTTCTCCATTCTTTGGCCATCGAATGAAGCTTGTGCTGTTCCACACTCATCAACAGTTTAATTATTGGCTGTGGGAATCCGGATGGAAAAACAACCGCCCCAGCCAAGATAAGGGTTCTTAGCCTGGGCTAGGACCCCGGCATGAGTCCAGGCGACCAATTCGGTGACAAGTACAGCAGTTACCTACACAAGGAACAGAGGCTCCAGAACAAGACCGCCTGGTTTGGGATCCTGCACCACCACTCACTTGCTGCGTGATGGTAGGCAGCTTACTCAACCTCTCTGCTTCAGTGACTTCAGGTGTAAAAGAAGAGGTAATAGCTCCTTTCCTTCCAGCAGGAAAACTGGAAATGGGTGCCTACCAAAATCAATGAGAAGCCTTCACCTTCCCATTTCCACCCACATACATTTTGAAAATGCACAAACAGAAGGTGTTTGGAGAGTTCCATGCCCTGCCTGAAGTTAAGGAGACATGTGTCTACTTTGTTGTTATTTACTTTAACTACACCCATACACCTTCTTCTAGGCCCCTCTTGCCTTAAGGGCCATCAAATAGCCAAGAGAGGTAGCTACACACACTGAATACACCACAATCAAAATCAGCATAGGAGCTCCCATCCCCTGGGGATCCCCTAGACCATCCCATAGAAAAAGAAAACGTCAGAATTTGCGGGAAAGATGAATGGGTTAAGGTCCAGAAACAAAAGATCTAATAATCACCCAAGTGTGATTAAAGCCCCAAGGTTTGGACTTCCCTGGTGGCACAGTGGTTAAGAATCCGCCTGCCAATGCAGGGGACACGGGCTCGAGCCCTGGTCCGGGAAGATCCCACATGCCGTGGAGCAACTAAGCCCGTGCGCCACAACTACTGAGCCTGTGCCCTAGAGCCCACATGCTGCAACTACTGAGCCCGAGTGCTACAACTACTGAAGCCCACGTGCCTAGAGCCTGTGCTCCGCAAAAAGAGAAGCCAGAACAAAGAGTAGCCCCCGCTCGCCGCAACTATAGAGAAAAGCCCGTGCACAGCAATGAAGACCTAACGCAGCTAAAAAAAAAAAAAAAAAAAAAAAAAAAAATCCACCTTCCAATACAGGGGACAAGGGTTCGATCCCTGGTCGCTGAACTAAGATCCCACATGCCACGGGACAACTAAGCCTGTGTGTTGCAACTACTGAGCCCACGCGCTCTGGAGCCCACAAACCACAACTAGAGAGAAGCCCACGCGTTGCAACGAAAGATCCCGTGTGCCACAGCTAAGACCCAATGCAGCCAAATAAATAACCAAAAAAAAAAAAAAGCCCCAAGTTTCAGGCCCATCTTGTTAGTAGTCCCAGCTACTAGATGGAAAACTTTAGTTAAGAGCTTCACCTCTCTGAGCCGTTTTTTATCTGTGTGTTTCCTCCCAGTTCAAGGAACCTTCAGTGGTTTCAGGACCAAATGATTCCTAGGCAGGACCACCTGCATCAAGACCATGCACTGCTTCTCCAAAGGCTAAAGATATGGACCCCATATCTTTATATGGACCATATGGACCATATGGACCATGCAGGCTTCAGGGACCCCATCCCCAGAGTGGTCCTCAAAGGTGGAAGTGGAAATATTCGAAATAGGGAAAGGAGCTGGTCAAATACACACTCCAGTAGTGGCTGTGTGTCCCAATCAAAACGTCTTCAAGAATAAAATAAATATTAAATAAAAAATAAGTGTTTTTTAATCCTTAAATAAAAAAGAAGTGTTTTTCACCAACACGAAATTTGCTATGATTAGGTACCAGGACATACAGTGAAAGACACACACGGAGAGAGGGAGGCAGAGAGAGACGTGGTCATAGACACAAGGACAGAGGGAGCCCGGTGCAGTTGGAACGCGCCGTCACATAAGATATATGGGAAGAGGTGGTGATATTACTGGAAGCCGGCAGCGGTCCAGGGCGCTAACTAGATACAGGAGGTTGTTAATAAGCTGATTGCTTTGGGGTAAAAAGGCTACAGCTTTAGTTCAAAACTGCGAATTCCTGAGCGGCATGGGGGAAGCCGGCTAACGGTGGGGTGCAGGGACTGCAGTCCCTCCTCCAGCTGGGTGGTGACGCCCCCGGGGCAGCCTCGGGTCTCAGCCTCCCCGCCTCCTGCTCTCTGGCATTGCAGGTTGGCGGGGCGACTAGCGGCAAGGGAGGCAGACCCTGTGCCCCAGCCACCAGGTCGCCGGGTCTCCCTCCCCGGGCCTGCTCCCGCCCTGCCCGCGCGCCCAGGCGCAAAGGGGAACACGCCGTCGGCGTGGGGAGGCTCCAGCGGCGGCGGAAAGCGCTCCCTCTGCCCAACACTCTGCCCCCCTAAAGGGCGCCGGCGGCGTCCGGCAGAGGCCCGCGTTAGCGGGATGTCGCAGCTCAGGCGGGGCGCTCACCAGAACAGGCGGGAGCAGAGGTTCGCGTCCTGCAGCGGGCTGGGCGGCACCTCCGGGTACGCCGGCAGCATCTTGCCGGCGCTGGCGGGGAGTCTGGAGCCCCGGGCGCCTCCGCTCCGTAGGAACCTGGAGTGGAGCACCCGCGGCCGCTCCGTCCGCGTCTACCCCAGCCACGCCGCCTTCCGGGAACGCCTAGTGTCGGAGGCGGGGAGGGGAGGAGCGCTCTCTACGCGCAGCTGTTAGAGGCCTGGGAGGCGAAGCCAGCGCGCAAGGTGCAGGGCTGCCGGACGAAGGGGGGCCGAGCGGACGCTGCCAGGAGCCACAGGCAGGTGTGAGGCAAGGCCGCAGGCGCAGCTGATGGAGGCGGGTAGGCGGGCTAAACAGCACACCGGGTCCAGCGCGCAGGCACCCACTTACTAGTACCTGGCTGCAAACTCTGCCAAAAGTACTTGCTCTGAGCCCACGCACCCCAGAAGGTGGAGAGAGGAGGCTCAGGCTCTGCCCACCTTTGCTACTCAAAAATGTCCCCTGGGGGGCTTCCCTGGTGGCGCAGTGGTTGAGAGTCCGCCTGCCGATGCAGGGGACACGGGTTCGTGACCCGGTCCGGGAAGATCCCACATGCCGCGGAGCGGCTGGGCCCGTGAGCCATGGCTGCTGAGCCTGCGCGTCCAGAGCCTGTGCTCCGCAACGGGAGAGGCCACAGCAGCGAGAGGCCCGCGTACCGCAAAAAAAAAAAAAAAAGTCATTATAGACACATATATGTACAAATCTATTTATGTACACATGTTTATCAGAGCAGTGCTTATTACAATATAATAGAATTTATAAACATTCTACGTTCAGCAATAGCAGAATGATTAAATAAGTCATTTTTAAACAAGTGTTTTTTGAACATCCATCAGACACCCTTCTAAGAACTGGGGATCAATGGTAAAAAAAGGCATGTAAGTTTTATCTCCTCAAGAGGAAATAAAAGAGAGTAGTTGGAGACGGCCAGCAAACCCCGATTTAAATTGCACAGTCAAGAAACTTGAGCTGAAATGGGAAACCAAGAAGGAGACAGCCTTGTCCAAATCTGGGAGAAAAAAAAGATCCCCAAAAAGTGAAAACAAAAAATCCATGGCATTGGATAAGATAACTTGGGTGAGTGTAGATTTTTTTAAAGGGAAGAGAGACCTGTTGCATCTGGAAGAGAGGGGAGGTCACTAGGCAAACTGCCACCCCCGAGACTGGGGAGGCCCCCCCAGTGAAGAGAGGAAATGGAGGCTTCCCAGAGCAAAACCACCAGGGGGACCTGTGCCTGGGGAGGAAAACCAGAATTATAACTGACTATCGCTGCAGGCTCAGTGTGACAATGAGAGTTAGAAACTACAGGGGGACCCAGTCATGCGAGGACTCACAACACGGTGAGATTTTCCTCCAGAAGCTCCACCAGGATCCTACAGAAAATACCAGAGAAAAATCCCTCAGCCTTCCTGCTGGGGGTGGGGGGAAAGTAGCCAATTTGAAATAGACCCCAAGACTCCAAGGCTTGCCCTTGGGGGAAACTAGTTAACTAGAGTCTAACCTGCTGGGGTGTTAACTGAGCCTAACTGACCTGGGGGAAGAGAAATACCCAGCTCCAGCTGTCTCTAGCCATCCTGTCCCACATAAGGGAAGGGGTGGGGGGAGAAAAAAATGAGAAACACTTGTGAAGTTCATGGTCCAGAGGCAGAAGCTCACTGGGGGATTGAGACTTAATCGTGGGAACTGCCTGCCCTCACACCTCACCACCTCATTACTAAGGCCTTGTTACAGCAGTTCCTTTAACCCAGGACATTGTGTCTGCATATCCAAAAAAAGTTACAAGGCACACCAAAAGCCAAAAACAAAATTTTTTTTGAAGAGACAGAGCATGCGTCAGAACCAGATGTGGCAGGGATGTTGGAATGATCAGACCAGGAATTTAAATGCAACTATGATTAATACACCAAGGGCTCTAATGGATAAAGTAGACAGCATGCAAAAACAGATGAGCAGTGTAAGCAGAGAGATGGAAATCCTCAGAAAGAACCAAAAAGAAACGCTAGAGATAAAAAGCACGGTAAACGAAATGAAGAATGCCTCTGATGGGCTTATTAGCAGACTGGCCACAGCTGAGGGAGGAGTTGCTGAGCTAGAGGATATATCAACAGAACCCACAAAAGCCAAAAGGCAAAGAGAACGAAGGCTAGAAAAACCAGAATATCCAGGACAGAGGAACAAATACAAAAGATTCCACATCTGCTTACTGAGAATTCCAGAAGGAGAAGCAAGAGAGAAAGGGACAAAAGAAACGTTTAAAACAATAATGACTCAAAATTTCCCCCAATTAATGTCAAACACCAAACCACAGGTCCAGGAAGCTCAGAGAACACCAAGCAGAATTAATGTCAAAAAAAAAAAAACCCAACTCCTACAACTAGGTATACTATTCTCAAATTAAAGAAAAACACTTTGGCTATAGAGGAATAAAGATAAGAATTACATCCAACTTCTCTTCAGAAATCATGCAAACAAGAAGAGAGTGGAGTGAAAAATTTTAAGTGTTGAGAGAAAAAAAATCACCAACCTAGAATTCTGTACCTTGTGAAATGATCTTTCAAAACTGAAGGAGAAATATTTTTTTCAGACAAACAAAAACTGAGGGACTTTGTTGCCGGTGGACTTGCTTTGCAAAAAATGTTAAAAGCAGTTCTTCATTGAGAAGGAAAATAATGTCAGAAACAAAGACCTACATAAAGTAAGGAAGAGCATCAAAGAAGGACGAAGGGAATAGTTCTGCAAGAGGAACAGATAAAACGGTATTGAAAGGGGCTTCCCTGGTGGTGCAGTGGTAGAAAATCCGCCTGCCGATGCAGGGCACACGGGTTCGTGCCCTGGTCCGGCAGGATCCCACATGCCGCGGAGTGGGTGGGCCCGTGAGCCATAGCCGCTGAGCCTGTGCATCCGGAGCCTGTGCTCCGCAATCGGAGAGGCCACAGCAGTGAGAGGCCCGCGTATCGCAAAAAAAAAAAAAAAAAGTATTGAAGGCTTTGAACAGTGGCCAGAATGGAAGAACTTACAAAAGCTGTATCCTGAGAGTGCAGTGACGAAAGCAACAGAGAAGTTGTGAGGATTTTAGCAAAGAGGCTATTAGACTCTGCCTGCCACTCCCATCCCTTCATTTCTCTTTCATGGCAACCACATGTCGTATGTCACCTCACCTGTGGACTGAGGATCAGCCAGCTCCCTAACTTGTGCACTGAACCCTGTTTACTGCGCTGATGGTTAATACTTTCATTGACTCAACTGTAGGTTCTTTCTGGATTCCTAACCTTTGACTACGCCTGAGCTTTGGTAGCTAAGGATATTCTTCTTCTTTTACTTTGCAGTGGGTTTTGCTGGGTTCTGCCTGCTGATGGCATTTAACTACTGACCACTGTCTACTACACAGAGGAACCAAGATAAGGTGGCAGCTTTGGATGAGAAGCAATTGGGAAAGAGCAGCTGGCCTTTGACCCAAATCTAGTAGTTTAGGTCAGAAAGCCTGAGGTGCAAGCTCTTCAGAATGAGCTGATCTGTAAGGATACATGTAACGCCATGTCATGTGTCCACGCAAAGCGCAGAATCAAACTATGTAGTATAGCTTGCCCGTATCCTGTCAGAGATGCCACTCTCTCTAAATTGAGACCAACGTTTCCACACCTTTCACCAACTAGTGTGTATGTATGTGTCATTTATCATTTTTCAATAGTCAGTCAACTTAAGTCTTCACTCGTTAATCAAGATTGCCAGGCAGGCTATTTCTAGCACACATCTGTGTGTCCTATAGGACTGCAGCCTTTACTCTGCTGCCCTCAAACCGCTTTTCTTATTTCAGATTTAGACTTTCATCCAGCCACTATCAAGCATTGCCATCCATCTCTGCCTGTCAGTCAACTGGTTCAGTTTCCATAAAACAACCAAGTCTGCCTTATAATGGCACTTGTTTGTGGTCCATGTTGGTGTTTTATTACATTTTCCTGCATTCTTTAAAATAAGTGAATAGAAGATGGAAAAATTAATATGCTAATAGTAATAATGCAATTCCTGCAAAGATGGAGAGAGTATGAAGTAGAACAAAGGAGGTAACTCTTCCATCTGGTTCGGATGCATATTGGAAGTCAACTCACTGACTATATGCTTAATTTCGAAGGAAAGGAATTTTTCTGAATCTATGGAAGTTTTATTCATAACTGTCAAAACCTGGAAGTAACCAAAACGTCCTTCAGTAGGTGAATGGATAAATAGACTGGTTCATCCAGACAGTGGAGTATTATTCAGCACTAAAAAGAAATGAGCTACCAAGACATGAAACAACATGAAGGAAACTTAAATGCTTGTAACTAAGTGAAAGAAGCCAGTCTGAAAAGGCTACACATACTTTATGATTCTAAGTATATGACAGAAAGGCAAAACTATGGAGTCAATAAAAAGAGCAGTGGCTGCCAGAGGGCGGAGGTGGGAGTGAGGGATGAACTGGTGGAGCACAGAGGATTTTAGGACAATGAAAATACTCTGTATGATACCATAATGATGGAAATGTCATTATATATTTGTCCAAAACCATAGAATGCACAACACCAAGAGTGAACCCTAACGTAAGCTATGGACTCCGGGGGACTTCCCTGGTGGTCCAGTGGTAAAGAATCCACCTTGCAATGCAGGGGACGAGGGTTCGATCACTGGTTGGGGACCTAAGATCCCGCATGCCGTGAGGGCGACTAAGCCTGCACGCCACTACTACTGAGCTCGCGCGCCTCAACGAAAGAGTCCATGTGCTGCAAATTACAGAGCCCGTGCACCCTTGAGTCCACGTGCCACAACTAGAGAGAAGCCCGCATGCCACAACAAGAACACACGCACCGCAAGGAAATATCCCACGTGCTGCAACTAAGACCTGATGCAGCCAATAAATAAATAAAATATATTTTTAAAAAACCTATGGATTTCAGGTGACTATGATGTGTCAGTGTAGATTCATCAATTGTAGCAAAAGTATCACTCTGGTGAAGGAATGTTGGTAGTGGGGAGGCTAGGGAGTGCAGGGACAGGGCAGATATGGGAAATCTCTGTACTTGCCACTACAAAAAAAAAGAGAGAAAAAAGAAAAATCTATGGAATACTAATAAGATATCGA